GCCAGACACTGTTCTAAGCATTTACATCTTTAGAAGAACCCTAAAAAGTAAGTACTATTATTATTCCAATTTACAGATGAGGAAAACAAGGCTCATAGACATGAACTAAGTTGCTCAAGGTCAGACAGCAAAGACACAGATCTGAGAATTGGGCCCTGAGAATCTGGCTCCGTCTGTGTGCTCACACATTATACTACTGGTATGCAATAAATTCTTGATAAGCACGTGAGTGAACAGAACTAATGAGATGTAGTAAGCAACTAAAGAATAACTTGTGTATACCTTGCAACCCCAGGCTAGAACGCAGGCTCTGCCACATATTGGCTATGAAAGCCTGGCAAGTTACCCCATCTCCTTAAGTCTCAGCTTCCTCTTCTGTAAAATGGAAATAATAGCTCCTTTGCAGGTTATTGTGAAGATGCACACAGCTACGGGTATAGTAGGCACCCACATTTACCAAATGAAATAGTTGGCATGACTATATGTGTAACACCAGGTACAGACAGAATAGTTGCTCAGAAAATGTTTTACTATAATGAGGTGAGAAAGAGATATGAAGCCAATAATACAAAAGCTAACAATTATTTCACGCTTAATATGTGCCAGGAACTGTGTAAATTCTCAATGAGCATTAACTGATTTACAACCATGTAACATAGTAAGAGCTACACTCTCCCTGTTGTACAGATAAGGAAACTGAGGATTGTGGAAGAATCTAACGGAAGTCACATAGCCGAACAGTAGTAGAACTGGATTGGAGCGTAGTCCTGATTCTAGAGGTGGAGCTCGTTAGTGTGATATTTTCTCACAACTGTCTCAGACAATACAGTGGGTGGTTTTGAGCTTGACTGTCAGGAGAGACAAAGGACAAAGAATGGGGGTAGAGGAATGGAATGAAGAGGCTAACAATGAGCTCAATTTGGGGCAGCTTGAGTGTGTGGTGCCTATGGTGTATCCAGGCAAAGCTATTCAACAAACAGTTGAAATACAGGATTAGAGCCCTAGAGAGAGAGAGTAAACTGAAAATAAAGATTTGATGGTGGTTTAAATTATGGGAAAAGATGAAATCATTCACAGTGAATGTGTAAAAGAAGAGAAAATGGACTTGGAAGAAGCCCTTAAAAATCAGCCCTTAAAAGCAGAAGGAAACAAACCCATAAAGGACACTGATAAACAGAAATGTAGAGAACTGGGGAATGGGTAGTTGAGACCAACAGAAGAGAGGAGGGACAGGCCAGTTAATTCATTTAGTCAACAAATATTTATTGACTATCAGGCACTGTTTTAGGTGCTAGGAGTGTATTAGCAAACAAAAGACAATACTTGCCCTTGTAGAGTTTACATTCTGGTCAAGGGAGATAGGCAATAAACACATAAATACAGAAAACGTCAGGCGGTAATAGAAAATAAAACAAAGCTAAGGTAGTTTACAAAATAATGGAGTGGCAAGAACCATTCCATCTATGGTGAACCATGGAAATCCCCTCTGAGAGGGTGAGTCTTCAAACAGATTCAAGAAAGTGAGTGTGTGAGTCCTGTGGATATCTCAGGGAAGAGTTCTATGCAGAGGAAACAGGGATGAAAAAGCCTTGAGGCTAACTGTGCTTGAGTGTGGTTGGAAAGGAACAAGAAAGCTAGAAGTGCAGAGGAATGAAGGAGGGCAAGATGTTAGAAGATGAGGCTGAGGCTGGGGAAGATATTACAGTTTATATAAGACTGACTTTTATTCTGAGTGAGCTGAGGAGATATTAGAGAAATTTGAGGGAGTGACACGATATTTGAATTATGATTTAAAAGGATTTCTCTGGGAGCGTCCGGCTCTTGGTTTCAGCTCAGGTTATGATCTCAGGGTCGTGGGACCAAGCCCCAGGTCAGGCTCCACACTGGGTGTGGGGCCTGCTTATGATTCTCTCTCCCCCTCTGCCCACCAGCCCGGCTTGCGCGCACGTGCTGTCTCTCTCCAAAACAAACAAATAAATCAAAGGATCACTCTGGCTGCAATGTTGAGAGCAGACTGGGATGGGGGTGGTGGAGCAGAGAGGAGGCTGCTGCAAAACTCCAGGTAAGGGATGACGGGGCTTGGACCAGAGTGTTAGAAGTGGCAGTAGTGAGAAGTGACTGGATTCTAAATATGTTGGAAACATGGAGCCAACAGTATGTACTGACATTCAAGTAGAAATGTAAATCTGCAGTGTGGTGAAAAGCCTGGCTGAACATCTGTATTGGGGAGTCACTGGGGTACAGATGGCATTTAAGGCCATGGGACTAGCTGAGATCTCCTGGGAAGTGAGGGTGGATGGAAGGGAGATCTGAGATCTCCAATGTGTAGAATTTGGGAAGAAGAGTAACCAGCAAAGGAGACTGAAAAGCAGCAGCCAGTGAGCTAGAAGAACCAGGAGAGATCAGTGGAAGCCAAGTCTTGGAAGCCAAGCAAAGAAAGTAAACAAAGAGTGATCAATTGTGTCTCACATAAAGTAGCATGAGGAATAAAAAGTGGATTCGACATGGATTCAACAATCTGAAGGTCACGTGCAAACCTGACAGAAGCTGTTTTCATGGGGTGGCAGGGACAAAAGCCTGACTGCAATGTGTTTAAAGAGAAGGGAAGAGAAGCAAAAGTGTGTTCTGGTTCAAAGAGAAGCAGAGAAAGGGCCAGTAGTTGGAATGTAATGTGAAGTTACTGGTGTCTTTTGTTTTTAAATTGGGAGACGTTACACCAATGTCAAATATTACAAAAGGGCCCAGTGAATTTAGGACATTTTATTTGGGTGTCAGGTCTCAGTGAGTAACTGAATAACAGTAACAATGACAACAAGATTTCCGTGAATAAAGAATTAACGGAGCATTAAACAAAATAGACAAGCATGCAGATTCAGTTGAGACAGGTAGGAGAAACAGGAGAGAGTGACAAGATGATAGAGAGAAGATTTTCTCTTTTTTAATTTACAAAGGCAGAGACTTGCCTGGCTTTAGGTTTATATGGAAAGAACTAGTTGAACAGAGAAGGCTGAAATCAGGAGAAAGGGTAACAATGGTGCACAGGCTGGTTTCAGACAGGAAAAAGTCACCTTACCCTATGAAGGGAAGAGAAGGGTAAGGTAGGGTCCAGGTGGTCCAGGTTCAGGCCTGAGGTCTCTAGCTCATCCACAAATGGCAATGAACATGTTCTTGGTTTCAGGAGAATGATACAGGTTTGGCAAAGCTACGCGCCTCACTAGAGGGACTTGGATATGCAGCAGAGAAGCAGTGGTCGTGTGGCTGGGGTCACATGGCTGCACGGGACCCTCAGGACTCTAGGGTAGCACAAAGAAAAGGTATGGAGTGTAGCTGGCTTGGGATTTTGAAACGTGTGTGGTGGACAGACAAGGTGAGGGCACAGGTAAGAGAGTGGATTAAGAGGTGTGTAAGATGATGGGTGGGGGGGACAAAGCAGAAGCATGGAGACCAAGTACTTGAGGGGCAGGTGGAATGGGGATGGACGTTGTGACCAGAGTGATGTTGGATCTCAGAGGAGGGATGGGCAGATCCACGGAAAGGGTATGAGCTGGGGCAGAGGGAGACCATGGGATCGGAGTCCATGTCTTTTCTTCCTGATAAGGTTGTTGCAGGTGAGTAAGACTAGGGTGGAAAGGAGGGTAGCCCAGTGCCCAAGCCGAAGGAAATGAGGTAACAGCAGACTAATGGGGTTAGGTGAGCACGGGGGGTGTGGGAGTGGGAGAGGATGGGCTTAAGGAGACTGGGTGTGAAGGGCTTGAAGTCACAGGGGTCCTGGGGAATGGAGTCTCCAGAGGTGTGCAGAGCTCAAGGGCCTGGAGTCCTGGTTGTAGTCTCAGGGTCTTGCCTGGTCTGAAGAGTTTGGTAGAGGCTGGGGTCCCCCTGGAAATTAGACCTGGGAAAGGACAAGAGGGGCTCTTGGGTTGAGATTCTTTGTGAGGGGGGTGTGTGTGTGTGAACAGCACAGGAATAGCATGTGTATGTGTGGTGCGAGTCCTGGAGTCAGAGGAGCAGGAGGCTCTGGGAGCACCCCCAGTGTGTAGGTGTCAGGGACTGGAGTGTGTGGTGTGTGGAGTGCAGGTGTTCCAGGTGTGGGAGCAACAGGTGAGAGCAACAGGTCATATGGGAGAGTCCAGCGCTGGAACGTGCAGTGTGAGGGGTCTGGAGGAAGTGTGGGGGATGGGGGAAACTGCGGTGAGGGGGGTGTTGGGGTGGGGTGTGGGGGGTGAGGAGACTGCGGTAAGGACAGAGTATGGGGGTAAGGAGACTGGGGTGCAGAGGGGTATGGGCGGCAAGGAGACTGGGGCAAGGGTTGGGTGTGATGGGCGAGGGCGGGGTGTGTGGGTGGGGG